GGCAGGCGGATTGCTTGAGGTCAGGAGTTTGAAACCAGCCTGAGCAAGAGGAGACCCGTCTCTACTATAATAGAAAGAAATTAATTGGCCAACTGAATATATATAGAAAAAATTAGCCGGCATGGTGGGCCATGCCTGTAATCCCAGCTACTCGGGAGGCTGAGGCAGAAGGATCGCTTGAGCCCAGGAGTTTGAGGTTGCTGTGAGCTAGGCTGACGCCATGGCACTCACTCTTTCATGGGCACAAAGCAGACTCTTCTCAAAAAAAAAAAAAAAAAAAAGTAAAGAAAAAATTCAACACGAAGATGTTTTCATGTTCATATTTAGAGTCTATAGAGAGCTACTACATCCATACAGTATATATAGGTTATTATCGTGGTAATTTTCATGACAATAATTACTTAACTAAAGGAAGAAAAGAACTTCAGGATAGGCCTCCTTTATTTTGGTTTAACAGAGAGAGGACCAGAGAAGTGGATTATGATCTTACTTTCACAGAGAGAGAATGGACCACAAACAAATGATGCAATTCCCCAAGGCCAACCAGGCTTCTGAGAATGTGGAAGCACACACTGCAAACGCAATCTAGCCTTACCCTGGTACGACTTGCCTTCTGCCAGGACTGAGAGTACACCTAAATGGGCTTTCCCCTTCCTCAGTCTTGCATTTTTTAGCACGTGAGGTCCCATCTTCATGACTAGAAAAGAATAGAAATTGTTTTTCCTCTTAAAACAACACACAAAAAAAAGAATTGCTGTATATAAAAAGTTTTAACTTATTTTCCAAGCATCAGAAATAAATGCTGCCACTTAATTTCCTTTACAAACAGCCTAGCCTAACAACCTAACCAACAAGCTGACAGGGGTCGTGACAAAGCCCGACTTGAAGCAGTCCTGGCTTTGTTTCACAGCCAGTACAGACATCAAGAATGCAGTCACTCACAAACCTCCTTGCAAAAGATGAAACGCAAGCTACACATAATAGGAAACTATAACATTTTAAGTAAGAAATCCAATTTAGCTTCAGATATTATTGCTAGTTCTGTCTCAGAATTGATAGTATTGGGCTTTCCAATATACAAAGACCACCTTTAGTCTAATAGCCCCATCTTCCAGTCTGTATAAAGAACTCTCATAGGCTTCTACTTACAACTGTCAAAACTTACTAGACATCCTTAATCAAATATGCAAGAGCCCTCCTCTGAGAGGAAGTCTTAAACTACTAAAGAAATAATAAAAAAACTCCTTTCAAAAAAACCTTTTAATTTGTTCTTTTATAAACCTAATTTTGTTTTGGGCGATATGCTAACAGAGTCCAAAAGCAGCTGTGTGCTAAGGGAAAAAAAAAAAAAAAAAAGAAAGAAATCATTCCAATCATAAACTTCTCCAGAGATCAGAAAAAGAAGGAACAATCCCAAGCTTTTATCTGAGGTTAGCATAACTTTAATACCAAAACCTAACAAGGACAAAATGAGAAAACAAAATATGGTCCAAATATCACTCATGTGCCAAAATGAAAAAAAAAATACACATACATATGCACATATTTATATGTAACATGTAAATATATATCTTATATATTTACTAAAATATATTTTATATATTTTTATAGAATATATTTTATATATTCTAGATATAGTGAATATATGTGCCAGATTTTTACCAAAAATTTATGAAATGATAAAAAATATTAAAGAAAATCTAAATAAATAGAGATGTTCCATGATTACTTTTAGATAACTCAATATTTAATAACAATTTTACCAAAATTGATCTGTAGATTTAACTTGTTCTGTGTTAAAATCCTCACATTTTTATCTGCTTGCTTGCTTGCTTTTGATGGCCTAATACAAAGACTAAATAGTTATTTCTAAGACTAAGCAAATTGCTGCTGTGGCTTCAAGAGTAACAGAAAAATTTTGTCTTTCAAATAAGCTCTTAATTTGCTTTAAAAAGTTGAATTATGAGCCTCTCTTAGACATTAGGGGAAAAAGAGACCATTGTGCATCACCCCAGGGGCGTGCACATGTGTGTATACATGTGTATGAATGGATAGTTTTTCCTAGCTAACTATAAGATAGGAATGTGGCATCTTGGGACACAAGAACAGAAGAGACAGGAGAAACAGAAATGCCAATCTCTTAACTAGAGGGTTTAGTAGTATTCTTTTCACAAAACAAAGACATTTATAAGTGTTTTTGTAAGTTTGTATAAGTGTTTCTGCTTTTTAGACTTGTACTTAAATAGGAGACTATGAACTCTACTGTCCAGTATTATACTGAAAACTCAACTCTACAGTCCATTGTGACATTCTTATAGCCAGGAAAAATACCTGAAAACACTAAATGAGTCAGGGATTCATGATAATGATTTATTTCTGGAGCAGAGACTGGTCTTGGGAAGAAAGTACCTATTCCTCCCCATCTATGGGATCCTACCTCCTTCACCCACACCTGTAGACATCTCCCTCTACACTGCTGTGGGGCGTGGGGTTTAGGGCGCCACTGTTATTTCCTTCTCAAAGAGAGAGGGTTTTTTTTTTTTTTTGAGAAAAAAACTATACACAAGTTTTATAAGTTTAGTTTTTTTTTTTTGTTTTTTTTTTAGAGATATTACAGGAGTGAGCCACCGCGCCCGGCCTAAAAGCAGGATTTTTATTTCAAGGGGATACTCAAGAAATTAATTTGGACATGTATTTTCATTAGCTCACACATTTATTAAAGTATTATGTGCAAAGCTCCATGTAGTTAAAATGAAGCTAAGAAAGACAGTCCCTATTTTTCAGGAGCTCAAAACCTGGTGAAGGAAAAATGGATCCATTACTTTATATACAGTTGTTGTAAGCCTACTGGCACAAGAAATATGCTATGGAATCATAAGGGAAGTTAACACTAATTCCAAATGGAAATCTGGGATGACTTTTGGGTGGTGGGAATCAAACTGCAAACTGGACCACATTTTAGTGAAAATGGAAAAGCTCATGCTTAAACCTTGACCTCTCCTATCCTTCATTTTTATATAAATCTAGCAGAATGGTAAAGAGCATAGGCTTTGCAATCCCAGATCTAAGCTTTAAGTTCTAGCTCTACTAGTTCTCTTGGGCAAGTTACTTAAAAAACTCTTGAACCGCCGGGCGCGGTGGCTCACGCCTGTAATCCTAGCACTCTGGGAGGCCGAGGCGGGCGGATTGCTCAAGGTCAGGAGTTCAAAGCCAGCCTGAGCGAGACCCCGTCTCTACCATAAAAATAGAAAGAAATTAATTGGCCAACTAATATTATATATATAAAAATCAGCCGGGCATGGTGGCTTGTGCTGTAGTCCAGCTACTCGGGAGGCTGAGGCAGGAGGATTGCTTGAGCCCAGGAGTTTGAGGTTGCTGTGAGCTAGGCTGACGCCACGGCACTACTCTAGCCTAGGCAAGACAGAGTCTCGCTTTTGTCCAGGCTAGAGTGGTGCCGTGGCGTCAGCCTAGCTCACCGCAACCTCAAACTCCTGGGCTCAAGCGATCCTTCTGCCTCAGCCTCCCGAGTAGCTGGACTACAGGCATGCGCCACCATGCCCGGCTAATTTTTTTATATATATATATATATCAGTTGGCAATTAATTTCTTTCTATTTATAGTAGAGACGGGTCTCGCTCTTGCTCAGGCTGGTTTTGAACTCCTGACCTTGAGCAATCCGCCCGCCTCGGCCTCCAGAGAGCTAGGATTACAGGCGTGAGCCACCGCGCCCGGCCTAAGTTTTATAAGTTTAGTTTTATAAGTTTTATACATGCTATCCTGGGAAGTTGATTATTAGTTATTTCTTTTCATTTTACCTTTTCCTCTTATGTAACTTTTAAATGGAAAAAGAAACAAATGTTCAGAATAAACTTTACTGTTTAATCTGTTATATCTGCTCTCTGAGATTACAAATTATAACAGTAGTACATTTGCAAACCGACTAGAAAAATTTAGACAGCACAAAAACCAAACTATATTCTCACTGCTCAAGTACTGAAAAGCAAGAAAATGAATAGAAGAGAAATGATACTCAGTCTCAATTTGACTGGTCAAGGATTATTAAGCCAAAATATAAAAATATCAAAATCTGAATTCCACATTTTAAAAAGTTTTGAGTTAAATAAAGGTATATTCAAAGGAAACATTTTTCTTCAACTACAGAATCATAACCATGCTAATTGAAAAACGTTGGTTTGCATCCTAACAAGTGAATTATTCTAGAAGCATAATGGTCATAAAAAGGTATGGCATAAAATATTACTGATTCTCTCCGTACATGAAAATCTTCTCCAATTTTTTAAAGCAAATGTTCGGAACACATATTAGGTAACAATCATTTGATATAACACTACAATTTTGAGATGTGTGGAAAGCCACTTTTACATGTGCTTGATAATGGTGTAATGGCTACTACAGTACTAAGAATCTCTCTCTAAAAAAAAACAAAAAAAACTCTTGAACCTCAGCTTTCCCATATGTAGAACAGGGATACCAATAGCATTCCAACCTCATATAGTTGCTGTAAGGATTAAATGAGATCATGTATGTAAAGACTAAGCACAATATAAGAGCTCAAGGTTATTTATTATTATCTTGTATCTACATGTTCATTTCTTAGTCAACATCCTAAATATACTTGAATTACTTTCTTTTCCAGATTATAAAGACATAACTAAGTACTTAATTCTCGTAAATATGAACAGAAACCAGTACATCATATATACTGTATAATAAAATGCAGGGTTGTAGTTAAAGCATAATCTCTGTTCCCTCTACTACTGGCACTCAGAGGTGCTGCCAAAACAGCATAAGGACTCTATTTTCTTGATCTTGCCACATAAAAAACAACAATGATTTTACCAAAGAAAATAACTTACTTCTTTTTTCATCCATAATTTTAAAGCAGTATGCAGTGCTTTCACTCCCTGTACTAAGTAAGTTTGAGGCTGGAAACCATCTTCTCTCAGTTCTGTAGGAACAAAAGTAGGGTGGACAAAGCAGTTAAAGTGTTCTAAAGATAAAGGGATTAACTTTAGATTTTGAGTAACTATCAAGTATAAAACTGTATGACTTCCCAATTAATAGAAAGACAAAAAAATGGAATATAAAATTCCAAAAGAAGGAAAAAGAAATAGAATTACATTCAATGTAATTGTACTAAATGTTCTAGTTAAAAGAAAGACTATTCCTTCAGAGCAGAGAAGGGAAAAATAAATTTAAAAAAGAAGAAAAAAGAAAGACCATTCCATTGGATTTAAAAATAAACTAAAAGTACATAAATAAAATATTAAAAAGTACAGAAATGTTTAAAATAAAAAGATGAGGAAAAGATACCAAACTTTGAAAAAAAAGCTGGTGTAGCCATATTAATACACTGTCATTAATAAAGGGTCATTTCATAATGACAAAAGATTTAATTCACCAGAGAGACATAAATTACCATTTAAATTTTGTGCTCAGTAACATAGCCTAAAAATATAGAAAGCAATAACTAGACAGAGCTATACAGAGAAATACATAATCATAGTGGAAAATTTTGAGACATTTCTCTTGATAAACAATAAAGTAAGTGAACTAAAAAAAATCAGTAGGCATATATATATATGCAATTTTAACAATATAAAACTTGATTCAATAGGCATAAAGAGAATATTATACCCAGAAATTGCAGAACACTCATTCTTTTCAGCATACACAAAACATTTACAAAAAATCATCCCTATCCCAAGGCCATAAACAAGTCGTATCAAATGTCCAAGGATCTAAATCACAGACGTGTTCACAGTGCAATTAAGCTAGAAATCAATAACACAGAAATCAGTAACACAATAACTGGAGAAAGTCCATATGTTTAGAAATTAAGAAACACAAATACTAATAAACAGACTGCTAACTAACATTTGGATCAAAAAATATATATTAGGCCAGGCATGGTCACTCACACCTATAATCCTAGTACTTTGGGAAGTTGAGGTGAGAGGATCACTTGAGGCCAGGAGTATGAGACCAACCTGAGCAATATAGCAAGACTCCGTCAATACAAAAAACAGAAAAATTAGCTGGGCATGGTGGCATGTGCCTGTAGTCCCAGCTACTAGGAAGGCTGAGGTAGGCCGACCCCTTGAGACCAGGAGTTTGGGATTATAGTGAGCTATCATGATGCCACTGCACTCATGCCCGGGCAACAGAGCGAGACTCTGTCTCCAAACAAACAGACAATAAAACAATACATTGGAAATCATAATATGTTCGTTAAATAATAATGAAAACATTATATCAAAACATGTGGTATATTATACATACAAGGAAATGTATAGCTTTAAATGCTTACGTTAGAAAAGGCAGCTGAAAATTAATGAGCTGAGGACCCATGAAAAAGACTTGGGCAGGGCAAAGGCAATATATGTAAACTAAACATTTGTACCCCTGTAATATTCTGAGGGGGAAAAAAAGATTGGGAGACTCAGTGGATGGTTGTGTCATTAGCCAGGATTGAGAACACAAAAACAGCAGATTTGGGGGGGGGGGGTTTTGACCTGAAGGTCATGAGTCAGTAGACTTAGTTTTGGATATAGTATTAATTAATCTATCCAAAGATGCTGGTGGAAAATCAAAATGGGTAGGTCCAATAAACAGTTGATAGTAGGTACTGAAAATAACACTTGGTGTTAACATTTGTCTCTTCTCAATAAAGATAATACCATTTTAATGTTAAAAAAAGAAAATGAGCAAAAATTAACAAAACGGAAAATGGAGAGGATTGTTAAGTCTCAAACTGGTTCTTTAAAAAGATATTAACATTGAGGCCAGGCGCGGTGGCTCACGCCTATAATCCTAGCACTCTGGAAGGCCAAGGCAGGAAGATCACTCGAGGTCAGGAGTTCAAGGCCAGCCTGAGCAAGAACGAGACCCATCTCTACTATAAATAGAAAGAAATTAGCAGAACACCTAATAATATATAGAAAAAATTAGCCAGGCATGGTAGCGCATGCCTGTAATCCCAGCTACTACGGAGGCTGAGGCAGGAGGATCGCTTGAGCCCAGGAGTTTAAAGTTGCTGTGAGCTAGGCTGATGCCATGGCACTCTAGCCCGGGCAACAGAGTGAGACTCTGTCTAAAAAAAATGAAAAAAAAAGATATTAAGACTGATAAAGATAAAATAGCACAAATATGCAACTATCAAGAATGAGAAAAGAGACACCATTACAAATGCTACAGATATTTTTTTTTTTCTTTCTTTTATTTATTTCGGCATATTACGGGGGTACAGATTTTAAGGTTTCAATAAATGCCCTTTCCCCCCCTCCCCCCAAGTCTGAGTTTCCAGGATGACCATCCCCCAGATGGTGCACATCTCACTCATTATGTATGTATATCTACAGATATTAAGTACTTAAGGGGGATAACATGAACTTTATGCCAACACATGTAAAAATTTAGATAAAATTGCCAGATACATTTCTAGAAACGAATTCATCATAATGGACTCAATAATTAACTAGAAAAACGTAATAGTCCTTTAATTACTAAAGATACTGACTCAGCAGTCAAAAATCTTCCTATAAAGAAAATTATAGATCCAGATGTCTTCCTCAGTGAGTTCTAGCAATCATTCAAGAAAGAGGCCGGGCGCGGTGGCTCACGCCTGTAATCCTAGCTCTCTGGGAGGCCGAGGCGGGCGGATTGCTCAAGGTCAGGAGTTCAAAACCAGCCTGAGCAAGAGCAAGACCCCGTCTCTACTATAAATAGAAAGAAATTAATTGGCCAACTGATATATATATATGTAAAAAATTAGCCGGGCATGGTGGCGCATGCCTGTAGTCCAGCTACTTGGAGGCTGGCAGAGGATCGCTTGAGCCAGAGTTTGAGGTTGCTGTGAGCTAGGCTGACGCCACAGCACTCACTCTAGCCTGGGCAACAAAGTGAGACTCTGTCTCAAAAAAAAAAAAAAAAAAAAAAGAAATCATTCCAATCATAAACTTCTCCAGAGATCAGAAAAAGAAGGAACAATCCCAAGCTTTTATCTGAGGTTAGCATAACTTTAATACCAAAACTAACAAAGACAAAATGAGAAAACAAAATATGGTCCATCAATATCACTCAGTGCCAAAATGAAAAAAAATACACATACATATGCACATATTTATATGTAACATGTAAATATATATCTTATATATTTACTAATATATTTTATATATTTTTATAGATATATTTTATATATTGCTAATATAGTGAATATGTGCCAGATTTTTACCAAAAATTTATGAAATGTAAAAAATATTAAAGAAATCTAAATAATAGAGATGTTCCATGATTACTTTAGATAACTCATATTTAATAACAATTTTACCAAATTGATCTGTAGATTTAACTTGTTCTGTGTTAAAATCCTCACTTTTTATCCTGCTTGCTTGCTTTTTGATGGCTAATACAAAGATAAATAGTTATTTCTAAGACTAAGCAAATTGCTGCTGTGGCTTCAAGAGTAAAACAGAAAAATTTTGTCTTTCAAATAAGCTCTTAATTTGCTTTAAAAAGTTGAATTATGAGCCTCTCTTAGACATTAGGGAAAAGAGACCATTGTGCATCACCCCAGGGCGGTGCACATGTGTGTATACATGTGTATGAATGGATAGTTTTCCTAGCTAACTATAAGATAGGAATGTGGCATCTTGGGACACAAGAACAGAAGAGACAGGAGAAACAGAAATGCCAATCTCTTAACTAGAGGGTTTAGTAGTATTCTTTTCACAAAACAAAGACATTTATAAGTGTTTTTGTAATCTGTATAAGTGTTTCTGCTTAGACTTGTACTTAAATAGGAGACTATGAACTCTACTGTCCAGTATTATACTGAAAACTCAACTACAGTCCATTGTGACATTCTTATAGCCAGGAAAAATACCTGAAAACACTAAATGAGTCAGGGATTCATGATAATGATTTATTTCTGGAGCAGAGACTGGTCTTGGGAAGAAAGTACCTATTCCTCCCCATCTATGGGATCCTACCTCCTTCACCCACACTGTAACATCTCCCTCTACACTGCTGGGGGCGTGGGGTTTAGGCGCCCACTGTTATTTCCTTCTCAAAGAGAGAGGGTTTTTTTTTTTTTTTTTGAGAAAAAAACTATACACAAGTTTTATAAGTTTAGTTTTTTTTTTTGTTTTTTTTTTGAGACAGAGTCTCGCTTTGTTGTCCAGGCTAGAGTGAGTGCCGTGGCGTCAGCCTAGCTCACAGCAACCTCAAACTCCTGGGCTCGAGCGATCCTTCTGCCTCAGCCTCCCGAGTAGCTGGGACTACAGGCATGCGCCACCATGCCCGGCTAATTTTTTTATATATGGTATATATATATATCAGTTGGTCAATTAATTTCTTTCTATTTATAGTAGAGACGGGGTCTCGCTCTTGCTCAGGCTGGTTTTGAACTCCTGACCTTGAGCAATCCGCCCGCCTCGGCCTCCCAGAGAGCTAGGATTACAGGCGTGAGCCACCGCGCCCGGCCTAAGTTTTATAAGTTTAGTTTTATAAGTTTTATACATGCTATCCTGGGAAGTTGATTATTAGTTATTTCTTTTCATTTTACCTTTTCCTCTTATGTAACTTTTAAATGGAAAAAGAAACAAATGTTCAGAATAAACTTTACTGTTTAATCTGTTTATATCTGCTCTTCTGAGAGTTACAAATTATAACAGTAGTACTATTTGCAAACCGACTAGAAAAATTTAGACAGCACAAAAACCAAACTATATTCTCACTGGCTCAAGTACTGAAAAGCAGAAAATGAATAGAAGTAGAAATGATACTCAGTCTCCAATTTGACTGGTCAAGGATTATTAAGCCAAAATATAAAAATATCAAAATCTGAAATTCCACATTTTAAAAAGTATTTGAGTTTAAATAAAGGTATATTCAAAGGAAACATTTTTCTTCAACTACAGAATCATAACATGCTAATTGAAAAAGTTGGTTTGCATCCTAACAAGTGAATTATTCTAGCAAGCATAATGGTCATAAAAGGTTATGGCATAAATATTACCTGATTCTCTCAGTACATGAAAATCATTCCCTCAATTTTTTAAAGCAAATGTTTCGGAACACATATTAGGTAACAATCATTTGATATAAACTACAATTTTGAGAAGGTGTGGGAAGCACTTTTACATGCTTGATAATGTGTATGGGCTACTACAGTACTAGATGTAATGAACACTTTCCAACATTACTTACGTTGTTCTGACAGTCCTTCACATACTTGATTTTTTAAGAACATAGATTGTTAGGTTATAGACTAGAGACTCTAATTCACTAAAAAGCTTCCTGGAGACAGGAAATCATGTATTGAAAAAGCAAACAGGGTGACATCTATACTCTACTAGAAAAGGGACTCTGTCGGGTGGCTTTCAGTGGATTTACAAATATTATATATCATATCATATAAAAAAGTATAAATTAATTACCTTTCAGGGTTTCCAGCAAGTTTTTGGCTACAAACCAACATATGGCTTCAAAGAAAGGGAATTTGAAAAGATCTGGTGTTTTTAGCCTTTTCTCCATCTCATAACACCTAAATGAATAAAATTTGAAAAAATATTTAATGTTAATATTAGTATTTCAATATTAATGAAGGTAACCAACTTGAAAATAAAACATAAGACAAATCAAGTACTGTACATTACTTAACAACAACACCACATTTGGACAAGACTGAATTATCTTTATCCAGGTTCTGACTTTAACAAATTTGATAGCATGCTTAAGAATTATATTGAGTTTCATAAAAGATTACACCTTGGGATTTGCATCCTAGTTTTAACAAAAGGGATTTTACAAGGGCTCCACTGTAAGTGGAATCTATTTAGAAAACAGCTCCCTATATTGGACAATACTGCAACACCCACCCAGAAAGTTCTGTTTAGTCTCAACTAAGCATTCAACCTTAAGAGGTAAGAAGACAGGAACCATAGCTTGCCACAGTGTTAGTCTTCAGTGAGAGTCCTTGTAGCAGTTCATACAGCAGGAGCCATCTTTCCCCTCAGGGGCAGCTCAAGTGCAAAGAGAGGAGATCCACATTTGGTAGTTGTAGGAGCTGCGCTGGCTTACAGTCTCACATCCTATAGCAGCCTCACTCTCTCTCGCTCTTGCTCTCTCTTTTTTAAATAGTATTGTATCTTATTTTATTTATTTTTCTTTAGAGACAGGATCTCACTGTCACCGAGGCTGGAGTACAGTGGCATGATCATAGCTCAATGCAAACTCTAACTCTTGGGCTCAGGTGATCCTCACACCTCAGACTCCTGAGTAACTGGCATTACAGGTGCATGCCACAATGCCTGGCTATTTCATTTTTTTTTGTAGAGAGAGGGTCTTGCTATGTTGCCCAGGCTGGTCTCAAACTCTTGGCCTCAAGCAATCCTCCTGCCTCAGCCTCCCTAAAAAGTGGAATTACAGGTGTAAGCCTCTGCGCCCAGTCTGTCTATTGTAGTAACTCCACACACAGATACACAGCTTCCAGGGATCCTCATGTGCATGCCAAGTGACAAGAGTCATGCACTCAGGGAAGCCCAAAGATACTGACTTCCTACCAGGTATTTCTAGTTCTTCCAGTCCGGATACAGTTTATCAATTAGGAATCATTTTTACCATAAGCAGTGTTGCCTAGTAACATTCTCCCTTCATTACACTACCAGGGGAACAGAGTCAGGCAAAGATCAAATTCTCACACAGAGGGGGAAATAGCTGTTAATCCTTTACCTGCAGCAAAATTAAAGCAGATGTTTTGACAGCAATTGTGACTTAAGGTTGCTTTTTTCCAGCAGCATAGGTCACATCTGAATCTAACTGATTTCATTTATTTCCCTAATTGCAAGAATAGCCAAAGGAGAACACATACGTTTTTATAAAATTTTGAAATCTAGGGAGATATTATCAAACTGAGTAAGTTACTTTTTTTGTTTTAGATTTGAAATACATCAAGTATCCTCCTGACAAAATTTTTAAAATACTACTTTTGTTAAAAAATTCTTATTCCTAATCATTTCTCAGGGCCTATCTCCATGGAATCTCAAATAAAATGCTGTGAATTTTTTTAACTTAAAAAAAGACTGTCCTATTTAAGAAAGGACAAAAGATCCTTTAAATACTGATGACACAAACCTGAGCTGCATGCCAATGTTAAGGTTGTGCAGAAAGTTCCCCCCAAAAGCCATACAGTCCTGAGAAGTGAGCACAGCATGAATCCACCCTGAAATGGTTAAAAGTATATAAATCAGTAATTTTTCAATATTTAAATCAAATAAATATGATATCTACCTGTGAAGTAACTTGAAACACCAATATCAGTTCACTTCATACTCCAGTGCTAGAGAAGGTAATGTCTATTACAATCTATAGATTCATTTAATTAAATATTTATAAAGTGCTTATTTTATATTGCAGGCTATATGCAGAATTTGAGAAATAAGGTGAAGGTTTTTTTCCAGTTGTTGCTGTTTTCATTGTTTAGTTTAAAAATATAACCCAACTTCATATAAAAGATTTTTCTTTGAGACAAGTCAAATCTGGTTTGAATTAGGAAAGCACAATTTCCACTAAAGAGCACTGGGAATGGCTGAGCACTCAGCCTCCCCAGGGCCATCCTAAACTGAGTGCCCCAAAAAGTAAGCAGGGGAGGATCAGGGGACTCAACCTGAGATCCAACTCTGTAAGAAGGAAACGGCAGATCACTCACATTTAAGTATGAAGGGTTATGGTCCTGAAGATATAAATGTTGGCAATCAAAATGATGTTTTGTTTTCCCATAAAAATGTTTTCAAAATGGGAATCATTTCTAAGAGATGGCACAACTTTTGAAAGAAATGTTGGTAGACTTAACAGAAAGATTTCACGTAAATAAATATATACACACACATTTGTAAGTAAATTAGCTTTTAAAACACACAAATCCCATTTTCTTGATATTTTTCATCTTTGACCCCTCACTGTGCTATAACACAATATCAAAAAAACCAAAAGACTCACTTCCAAGTGTGCCCATTTGTGTGTACAACAGCACAAATACTTGAGTTTGACCCCGAAACCACAAATCAGAAGTTGTCCGTGCCAGTTACAAATTCTACACATCAGTGGTTCTCAATAGTGGCAGTACTGCCTGTACAGGGTGTTTTGGAAAGTTGGGAGGCTTTTTTGATTGTCACAATGATCAGAGAGCACTACTGGCATTTTGTGACTGAGAGCCAGAAGTGTAAAGATAGTTCTACATAATAAAAAACTGTCCCACGTCACTCAGGACTGTCATCTTCTGCTGGGCATTCACATAGGTACAAAGCCTGTCTATTAACTATCCGAGCCTAGAAACTAGTACTCCATTATTTACCTAAACAAAGTATTTTTGCATGGCTGTGGCACAATTTCCAAGAACATGACAACTCTGTAAATGAAAAGAACTGCAGTTTATTTGGAAATTTATAGTTGTCAACTACCTTGGAAAAAAATTTACATTGCCTATAACAGTGGTTCTCCAAGTGTAGTCCCTAGACCAGCAACACTTACATCAGTCAAGAACTTGTCAGAAATGCAAATTCTCAGGCCCACTCAAGATCTACAGAATCAGAATCCTGGGGATGAGGCCAGCAATCTGTATTATAATAAGCCCTCTAGGTGATTCTGATACTCCAGGGAGTCTGAGAACCACTAGCCTATACCAATGATGCTGACAGAATTTGTGCTGTCACTAACACACACCTACATTGGTTTGTTGGTTTATACAGCTAACCATATCATTCAGTTCTCTGATGCTGCTGTGCCTAAACAGGCACATACTGAAATAGTATTTCATTATAAATTATCTTTTTATTTCTTCTTTATATCCAGTTAGGTCATTACATTTATTTTTTTAATTAGTTATGCATGAACTATGAATTTCAATGTAAGACTTTGAAGAAAGCACAACAAAATATCTATTATAAAAGGAAGAACTAGGAAGAGGACCAAAGGGGGAAGCTTAGCCCATTCACAATGAAAATATTGATACTTATCCAGGCAAATATTCTGGTAGTTCTATGTATTTATTCATTCATTTATTCAACACACATTTATTATTATATATGCCAGAGGCAAGGCAAGAAATCAAAGCCTGTGGTAACAGATCCCTACGAACTCCACAGCCATTAAGGCTGCCCAAGCCAAAAGAACACAAGTCTCAAAACCACTGGTCTGGATAGTCTATATAGTCGCTGTATCCATTCACATCTCAAAATGACAGGCCTGATACCTGTATTTGAGGCTACAGCTAAGAATGATGCTCAGTCCCTTGCTAGGATCTCTGAAGACATATCCTTTGTCTCTTAATTGTCCCAGGACAGTAGCCCAGATTCTTATAGCAGATTTGCCCTTTAACAGCAATGGAGAGTGACCAAAGTTAAAACTGATAGGAATGTCATTAAAATTTAAAACTTTTGTGCATCAAAGGATATTATCAAGAAAGTGAAAAACTGACCCACAGAATGGGAAAAAATATTTGCAAATCATATATCTGATACAGGTCTAATATACAGAATACATAAAGAACATTTATAAACTCAAAAATAAAAATAGACAACCCAATTTAAAAATGGGCAAAGGGTTTGAATAGACATTTCTCCAAAGAAGATATAACATTATACTCTCACCAGTTGTGCATCCCTAATCTGAAAACCCAAAATCCAAAATACTCCAATGAGCAGCATTTCCTTTGAGTGTTATGTCAGTGCTCAAAAAGTCTTGGATTTTAGAATATTTCAGAGTTTGGATTTCCAGGTTAGGGATGCTTAACCTGTACATCCCTACAATGGAATATTATTGGGCCATAAAAAGATGAAGTACTATTATATGCTATAACATGAATGAGCCTAGAAAACATTATGCTAAGTGAGGAAGCTAGACAAAAAAGGCCACGGTGTATGGTTCCACTTATATTAAGTGTCCAGAACAGGTAAATCCATAGAAACAGGAAGTAGATTAGTGGTTGCCAGGAGCTCAGGGGAGGGAGGAATGGGGCATGACTGCTAAAGGGTATATGGGTTTCTTTTTGAGATAATGAAAATGTTCTGAAATTTAGACAGTGGTGATGGTTGTACAAGCTTGTCAATCTCTACTAAAAGTCACTAAATTGTATACTTCCAAAGGGTGAATATAATGGTATGTGAATTTTACCTCCATAAAAATAAAACTGAAGGCAAATGATATAACACAATGTCAAAAGAAGTCCTAACTATAAGACAAGCCCTCTAAGGGATGAAAAGTAAAAAGTCCAAGATCAGAATTATTTCTTATGTAATGCCTAAAAACTACCTTCCAAACATGCTGAAGCCAGAGGTTCTAACTAAAAGCTGAATCTATGTGACTGAGTATCAACTGGGGAGTAGGAAGTAGGATGAAAACCTTACCTGTAGGAACAAATAAGGTATGTCCCTGCTTTACCACACATTTGTAGCATTTATCCACCTTATCTCCAAAGAACACCTCACTCTGGGTCACAGATGAACTCCAAGATTCATAGAGTGCCAAATTTTCATCTGTTGGCTTTATCAAATAAAAAATCTTCTCACCCTAGAACGAAGTAATCGAACTATTTTTGAAAAAGCAAAAGCCATTCTTAAGATGGCCTACATTGATGCAATTTCCCAATATAATGATCTAAATTAAGTTAGATAATTATCAGAATTTTTAGGTTCAAAGACATTTCACACACCTGATCAATAGCTATTGACTTAAGAAACATTTTCACAGGAGCTAAAGCTTGCCCTCCCCAACTGACAAGGAGTCAATAAAGTAGTGTTGAAGAAATAGCTGTGAGAAAGGAGTGCAGAGAACCATAAACATCCCACTGACCTCCTCTCATTTTCAAGGTATAGAAGTAAGTATGTGTTGACAGGCCTCCAGGTTACAGAGTCCTTTCTGTAAACTTTGCCCTTTCCCTTTTGATCTCTAACATAAAGATTATTTTTAAAGACCTATAAATAAACTTCCTTTAATAAACTAACTCTTTGCTTCTTCATGAAGAAAAGGAACAAGAGTCCAAGGACACAGCATCAAATATGGTCCAGAGTATTGCAAGGGCATAGACGTTTGACATAGATGAAGATTTGGTTCTAGATCAGTACTCTCTAATAGAACTTTCTGTAATGATGAAAAATTTTTAGTATCTGCACTATCCAATACAGCAGTCACTAGCCATGTGTTGTGACTTAGCACTTGCAATGTGATGAGTGCAGATGAGGACTGAATTTTTAATTACATTCAATTTTAATTAAATTTAGCCCCACATGGCTAGTGGCTACTGCATTGAACAGTACAGTTCTAGATAAAGCAAGGTGAATATAAACTGCAAAGAATTGGTATTTTTATGGGCATTTCTGGATCCAACTAGCTGTCTTGCCCTACCTTAAAGCCAGAAGCAATTATTACTATAATTTTGCTTCTTCTTAGGTATTTGAGTCAAGGATTAAGAGATAATTAACTAGCAGGAAGAGGAAACAAAGAGAGACAAAAAGGCTCGAAGAAACCAATTTAAAAGATGAGGGCAAAAATGGAATCTAAATGTAAATAAAAACATCATGGCTCTTTCATTACTTGGAATAAAATAAAAATCATAATGTTTAAAAGCAAAGTGATAGTTCCTACTTAAAAAGTAGAAAAAAAAAAAAAAAGGCCAAGTGTGGTGGCTCATGCCTATAATCCTAGCACTCTGGGAGGCCCAAAGAGGGAGGATCATTTGAGCTCAGGAGTTCAAGACCAGCCTGAGCAAGACAAAGACCCTGTCTCTACTAAAAACAGAAAGAAATTAGCTGGACAACTAAAATAAATAAATAAATAATAGCTGGGCATGGTGGTGCATGCCTGTAGTCCCAGCTACTTAGGGGGCTGAAGCAGGAGGATTGCTTGAGCCAAGGAGTTTGAGGTTCCTATGAGCTAGGCTGACACCACAGCTAGTCTAGCCTGGGCAACAGAATGAGAGAGACTCTGCCCTCCCCCCCCCCAAAAAAAGTAGAAAAACCTTCCCTTCTACAAACTGTCATTTATAGCAAATGAATATACCACTGAAAAAATATGGCTATATGTTTTTGTCAACAAGAGAACAAAGAACTACCCAATCTTACCCAGAGGACATGGTACCAGACTGAAGTTCCACCAAAGTCAATGTGGAAATCTGTGTAGCTGTCTTGAACTCCCATTAAGCAGTATTTCTGGACAAATGGCTTGGGAAAGACTGAATCGTCTGGCCAATAATTTTCCACCCAAGAAAGTTTTTTGGCTATATCAGGGACCTCCACCAATTCAGACATCCTTTAAAAAAAAAACCAAACATATACATATACACACATCCACATCTTGCAAATTAAAACTTTGTAAAATTGCTTCTCCCATCTCAACCCAAACCAAGTAACTAACTGGAACTTAAGGTTAACAAAAATACTTAAAGTTTAAAACACATCTTATTTCTAAATAGTCTCTAAGCATGCCACTGCAAAATTTACAACATTGTTAAAAAAAGAAAAAAATACAACATTGTTACAACTGGATGACTTTAGAAGTCACAATTATGTTTCTTACTGAAATAAATATGTCATTAAACTACACTTAGCTAACACTCAGAATGCTAAGCCAGTAGTCCAGAGCTACTCACTTTGTATCTGAAAATTCAAGGCTGATCACGTTTAACACTTTTGGTCTGTTAGGATTCGTGAAGTATTTAACATAATTGTGAAGTGTCATTTTGCTGTCTGCCTGCCTTGCCACATCAATGACATCTATCACTTTGTCACCACCTGCAGAGAAAAATTATAGTCTTATTATTGGGCTTAAGAATTACATCAAACAGATGCTCTAAACAAAAATATTTTAAAGACTATATTTACTTGGTATGATAATTAAACCAACTATAAAACTATATAGCCTAGACAAAGATTCTTCCTATATTCTTATTACTTTTTGAAGTTCAACTGGACCTTTAGAAAAAAAGGGAGAGTTTTCGAGTAAAAGAATAAAGCAATAAGAGATGCATAACTAACACTGAGCATAAAAATTTATATGGCTTACAAAGCTTTCCATACACCAACAATATCTTATGTGCAGTTCATAATGACAAAAAAAATACATTATATTGTATGTGGAAATTGTGCAACACTTTATGGATTCCAATTTTTTGAGACACACAAAATGAGAAGATTGACTTTTCCCTTTCACTTCTATAATACCTAAGATTCTATCATTTTAGAAAACAGATCAGTCATTGGGGAATTAGTGAGCAAGTTGACCAGGACAAACAATTTCTGCTCTCTTGATAATGTCTTCTCTTTTAATATTCTCTTTCAAGAAAAAATTAATGGTTAGGAAGCAAAAATCAGTTCAGATTAGTGTCAGTGTCTGAATACCTAAGTTCTGAATTGTGAGTAATTTACAGTTTTCTTATAAAACCATGAAGTGATGCTTATAGACCATTGCATTGCCACCGCAGGAAGCATAATCAGTTTTATAAGGGACTATAGGATACCGTGGAATTCAAAATATGGCAATACTTAACCAATCTGAAATAGAAAACAAATAAATGCCATTTTTTTACTTTAATTCTATACAATTTAAGCAAGCATTGTCTCACAGACTATTTTATTTTTAGGGGGCAACAGAGTTCTGCTACTAATATTTAACTGAAGTGCTTTGCAGTTTTGAAAAGTTAGCTATAAAGCAGTTTGAACATTTTTTCCTATACTTATATTTACACTAGCTATTAATATTTATTTTACAGTTGCTATCTATGCAAATAGGTTTATGTTAAACCTCATCCTCATCCCCTAATTTATCAAATATTCAAACTTAGCTGAATGTGAAGTCATGATATTTAATTGGATTTCCTTAGTGAATCACTTATCAATGAGAACCGTCAACCAACAGCTCAATAAAGGGACAAGTTCTCAGATATTCCATGCTGAGGAGATTAGATATTGTAGTGAATATACAACTTTAAGTCAAAGTAGATTTGGGATCTAATCCTCCAGTAATCTCTATCTATCTCTGACAAGGAATGACTTCTACAGTCAGCTTTACTGTAACTATCAAAATGAGAATGAATGGTATAACTGCAAACCTCCCCCTTACTTCTTATCCCTTCCTGGGCTTCAAAATCACAAATTAAGTCAAAATGTCCTTACATGGCAACATTCACCAAGTCATTACTGTAAAAACAGGTTTGAAAATGATCTCCTCTTTTTACAGTCCCTCCTCTAAACAGCAAGAGGTCGCAAGGCTGATTCCAGAGGACTAATCATGCAGCTGGTGTACTGGGCTCTGACAATTTTGCAGCTGTATTCTACAGATGCCTATAACCAATCCAATTTCCCATGTCTTCTTCTTGGTATCTGTAGCTGCCCTCAGGAATGGTTTTCCCTAACCATGTATCAGAAAGTTTAATGACACCAAAGAAAGCAGCAGAATGAGGCTGAGTAAAAATAGGCAAAATGTGTCATTCTGGTTTTCCAACAGTTCTAAGTCAGCTGAGAAAATATAGTTTTTTACATAGGTGATACCGAGTTTCATTTTTCCTGACCCAGGAAACTGAACTAAATTCATATTTCTTCACTTAACTTTTAATATTATTAGGACCATCATTTTTACTTTTACCGTGTCTTCCCAGGTACTTAAAGGAATCAAGTTCGTACCTACATAGTGTTCCACATCCATCACAGAAAAAGTAGGTGAAGGGAGCCTGAGCCCCAGATCATCTAATTTAGGGACCATAATAGGGACATCAAATCCATGTTTCTCTAGATATCTTTGTGTCAGCTGGCTGCCATGCATCTTTACAATGATTTCATCGGCACTACGGGAAAACGAATAAAATGCCATTAAGTTCAGTTGAAAAATAATACTGTGATAATCAGTTCATTCATATATTGTATAATTACCTATATCCATGATTATTAACCTATCATACCTAATTCTCCTTTTAATAAGAAATGTTTTATAAAGCCCTTTTTGCTATGCTAGAGTAAAATTTGTAGGTGATATCATAATCTACTTAATTCAACACATATAATCAGAAAAATACATAAAATGCTCTGACTGTAAAAAGAAAAAAAATTAAACTAATGTATAGCAAAATATGTACAGATTGAGTATCCCTAATCCCAAAATCCAAAATGTTTTAAGTGTCGGCATAATGTTCAAAGGAAATGCTGAGTATTTTCAGATTTTCAGATCAGAAATGTTCAACTGGTAAGCATAATGCAAATATTCCAAAATAAAAAATAATCTGAAACACTTCTGGTCTCAAGCATTTTGCATAAGGGATACTCAACCTGTATTTCAATATGTAAATGTTCATGTAAACTTACTAGAAGACATCATAAAATAATAGAATGCTTAAAACTAGTTATAATGAATGGTTAGATTTAAGAGAAGTAAAAAAGATCAGAAGCCACTCAACATAAGCTGTGTAGGACATCATGAGAACAAAAGGTAGGATGTACATTAAAATAAAAACACAAGTTAGGATACGTAAAAACACACCAGATTTTATTTGACTATAAAATTTCACACAAATATCTGCTAGAAATTCACACTACCTGGGAGATGGGCACACTTATAACTCTGACTCAAAGGGTACAAAAGCAATTTATGTAACTGAAATGTTTGTGCCCCCATAATATTCTGAAATTAAAATATAATAATAGGAAAAAGTAAAAAAACCAAAACCCACAAATATTTGCGGACATTTCAAAGTCTAACAGGACACAAACCAATTAATTATTGTTCTGCATATTAGAGTATGACTAACATCCCTGGTCTCTACCCATTGATACAAGTGTCCAAAACACTCCCACTGGTAGTTACCAATTTAAATAATCTGTTAACCAGTATTCCATAAGTTTTAATACTAGGTAGCAACTTTAAGCTAATAAGAAGGTTTGGACCTCCAGCTGCCCTCTCTGATGATCAACATGTTATAGGCATTACACTTAAGTATGATTTGTCCCTTTGTCACTGTCCTCCAGATCTCTTTCAATGGAGTATTCTAGATTTTATCTCCAATTGCTCATAGGACGCAGCTGTTGTACAGTCAAAATTAAGTGCAACACTTGCCTTAAAGGTTAAAACAGAACAATTTCCATTTATACAATCAGATCTGAACTGTTTGATGTCGTCTGCAGCCTAGGTAGCAAGGAAAAGACAGGAGAAAAAGGAAATGCTGGTTCTCTGAATTACTGGGCTCCGATCTTCCCACCCTCTCAGTAACATAAGAGCTATTTGAGGCCTAAGAAAATTGAGACAGACTTTTCCTAGACAGTCTTAAAGTGGATGGCTTCGTTCTTCTTCAGCTGCCTCCTCCCCTTGAGTTCTGTTACTACTTTTTAGTTTCCCCAATAAGCACCAACAATTGTTCTTTCTTCCTCTAACTTCTGAGGATTAGATAATGCCTTAAACTTCAATCTATTAATAACAGGGAATTTTAAATCAACTGTACATCTTAATCTCAAATGTTTAGTGTTTCACTTCCCCTGTTGATCAATAATATATAAATACAAGTGCTTAAAATACAGGTACAACATTATTTGCAAGAGGAAAAAATAGGAGACAAACTAAACATATATCATATGGTATTTATATATTCTTGCATAGTACACAGCAGTTAAGGAGTGAGGTTAATCTATGTATATATATGGAAGGACATCTATGGCATGTAATAGAGTAAAAATGGCAAGCTGCACAACACTGTGCATAACATAACTCCATTTTTTTTTAAGGTATACATATCGTCATTGTACATAACTCCATTTTATTAAAAAATTTTATGCATCTATACGTGTATATATGTATCAATTTTTAAATTTTATTATTTATGTAGAAAAAGGCCTCAAAAAACTTACACTAAGTCTTAACATAGGGGAGAGGGAAGATAACCCATTCACTTAATCTTATGCACGTCAGTGTAATCACATCAAGTGTGTGTAATTTAGTAATTATTGTTACTCTACTATGGCTTTAAATGACGCAAAGGTTTATGGAGTTAAACAAAACAAAACAAAAAAAGACCTTTAATCAATGGTAATTATAGTTTGGACATTTGCGATCATCCCAACAATCTGTTCTCATTTATGTTCACTTTGGCAGAAAAGCCACATGAATTACTAGGCCAGTGTTTCTAACACTACTTTTTTGGGTCAGGAACCTATTAGGAAAAAAATGAAAGCTATGGTTCCTCTCCCTGAAAAATGCACACTCACACATTGGCACTAAATTGTATATACAGTTTTAGGGAGCTGGCAAACCTTCCTCAAGCCCACAAATAGACCCAGACTGAAAATGCTGGGCATAGGCTCCAAATCAAACAAGCATTATCTAATACAAAAGGGAAACAAGCAAACATTTCTCCTACAATTTTAAAACTGATAAAAGGAGAGTATTTGAGAATAGTGCCTTTAACACCATAAAAAACATGCAGAAACACTATATTTCATATATGTTTTCTTTCTGTCTCTTGGTAGACCTGAGGGAACCAACAGTAGATGCTTATCATTATATGTTTCTGTTTAAGAATTAAAGGGCAGGGGGATAGAGAGGAATCCCAAAGACTGAGGAGAAACAGCAGCGGTTTTATCATCTCAGGATCTGAAATAATTTCATAATAGGTTGCATGTGATTCTGTGATTTAAATTTAAATTGTGCTTCCGCCTTTAACAAGCCTGGATATGATCTTGTGTAAAAGCCTATTAAGTGTTACCACTTTAAATAGATGTCAGGCAGTGAGAAGGAAATGGTCTAAATTAGCATGATTAAATGCTTTATAATGCTTTTGACTCTCTTTGAGCCACAGACAACTCAAATATATTCCATTATTAAAAAAACATCAAAAAGCCCAGTCCTGCTGCCACCAGAGGCTAAGCAATAGTTGTGTGTGCTTCTGGTGGACCTAGAGTATAGAAGGAGAGGAAAGCAACAAGAGAGAAAAACACAGTTGGAAAACAGAAGGTGGTGAGGTAAAAGGAAAAAAGAAGCAGCAGCTGCATATCATAAGGAACCAAATACTGGGACAAGTGTCTCAGACTAGTACATTTTGAACTTTTTAGACTGTGACCCACAGTTAAGAAATATATTTTAACACGGTGACCTGGTGTGCACATACTATAACAAAAGTTCCATGAAACTATGCTTATTACTTCTGTTACTTGGTATTTTTCTATTCTAACTCATTAAGAAAAAAAAGTGAAAAGCTGGTTGACAACGATAATGGGTTGTAGCCTAAAGTTTGAAAACATTGCTTTAGATAACGTCAACTTTATCTGCCAACATTCTTACATTTTCTTTGAATAAGTTTCCATACCTTGGGAAGACTCGGGATCGTAATTCCTTAACAAAAGTTCTAGTTCCAGCTTGCACTGGTTTGGAACCATCATCAATTTCTGTGTAGTCGTGCCTGTGCCAGTTTCTCCTCTTTTTCACTGGATTTTTAGAAAATTAAAAAAAGAAAATATTTTTGGTAATTGGTAATACCATGTACGTTTCTAATCATTATAATCTACATAATCAGAAATAACCATTCTAAGTACAAAAACACTCAAGTTTTTAATGCATTTCTAGGCTACAAAAGTAAATTTTGCTTAATGTAATGCTACAACTACTAGCAATTAACTGTGGATTTTTAAATCTACTTTTTATTTCAAAATATTTAAAAATTAAATTAAGGAATCCAAATCAGCAGATGGAGCCTTTTATAATATCCTCATTTACACATACTATAAAATTTCCAAATTATTTAAAATTACGACTTTTAAAAAAAATTACGATTTTTCACTAGAACATTTGCTCATAATATGATTATTCAGATCCAAATCACCTTCTCAGGATAGGGCCTTTTATCTCACATCAGTAATCTATTTTAACAGCATAATTCCCTTCTCTTCTATGTAAAGATTTACTTCCAAAGTAAGCATGGTTACACTGACACAAAGAAGAACAGGTGACTGAGTTGTAATTAAAGGAAGATGGACGGTAAAAGAAAATAAATAACTTTATCATTGGTTCTAACACTAAGATCCTCTGATTCTACAACTTTGGGAAGCTACAATCTTCTCAGCAATCAAAATCAGGAGACTTGGATTTGATTCCTAGTTCAGCCATTAACTTCCTTTGCAACCTTGAGCAAGTCACTTAACACCTCTGAATCCAGATTCCTCAAGGTGGGAATGAAGGGGTGGGTTAAAGTGCCGATTTTCTTTTCAAACTGTGTGGAGGAACTCTGAACAAAGAGACAGAGAAAAAGCCAAGGGAGAATCTCTGGCCCTCATTCCTCTTTCCAACAGAGTAGCACCTTTAATGTGGGATCAAGGTAAGATTTCAATTATAAATCCCATTTTTTTTTTTAGCTTGAATATCACTCTTAAGCCTAAAACCTACATGATTCTTGAAAATGTACTGAAGCCTGCAACTTACTTAGAAATGCATCCACAAAAATAAGACAGTGGAATAGTTCATGGATAGATAATGTAGTAAAGCAAATAATGTAAAATGATAATAGTAGAATCTGGATGGTAAAGGTTTATAGGTACTTGCTGTAAAATTCAACTTTTCCTATACATTTGAACATTTTCATAACAAAATATTATGGGGGGGAACAACTTTATGATTCTAAATTATTTTAAACATTCATCTTACAAAGATCATAATAATATGAATAATATTGGGTCCTCATATAGATAAGGAGAAGTCACACTAAATAATTAACAGGGATGGAAATCAGGCTTATTCATATCTAAGAGTCTAAAACAAGATTCCCAAGTAACTTATGAAAGCCAAATCTTCAATACAGAAGAGAGTAAGTCCCATTTTTTAAAATTTCATGAGAAAAATTTAGGCTTACAAAGCAACCTTCCTAGAAAATTCCATTAAAGCATCCTTTATGTGTTAATTTTTTTCTCATTTAAAATCACTCCTACACAAGGTCAGGCGCGGTGGCTCACACCTCTAATCCTAGCACTCTGGGAGGCCGAGGTGGGCGGATTGCTCCAGGTCAGGAGTTCAAAACCAGCCTGAGCAAGAGCGAGACCCAGTCTCTACTATAAATAGAAAGAAATTAATTGCCAACTAATATATATAGAAAAAATTAGCCGGGCATGGTGGCGCATGCCTGTAGTCCCAGCTACTTGGGAGGCTGAGGCAGAAGGATCACTTGAACCCAGGAGTTTGAGGTTGCTGTGAGCTAGGCGACGCCATGGCACTCACTCTAGCCTGGGCAACAAAGCGAGACTCTGTCTCAAAAAAAAAAAAAATCACTCCTACAATTCAAGGGTATTCCACTACAGATTTTTCCTCCTATATATAGATATGTAACTCCACTTTTTTTTTTCCTAATCCCTTTTTTCAGCATTTCTATGTAACTCCATTTTATTTTCAACTGGGACCACATGTTTATCCTGCTTACCTTATTCTATCATGAGCATTTTCTCCTTATTAAATATTCAAAAGCAATTTAAAGGCAGCCTAGAATTTCAGGATGTACATGTACCATATTATAATCATTTTTTATTCTTAAATATTTAGTTCATACTGATTCTTTCTTCAAAGTTGAGATTAATATTCATATATATTAATCTCTTTCCCTGATTACCTCCTCAGGATAAATTCCTAGAAATGCTAGAAGATCAACATCTTTAAGATACTTGCTACATGTTGCAAAACTGCCTCCAAAAAAGTGGTACTAGTAATTTACATTCCTCCCAGTATTATATAAGCAGCCTATTTCAAGGCACTGGGTTAACGATGAGCATCATCATTAAAAAAAAAAAAAAAGCTACCCATTTGATAGGTGAATTATGATATAATACTGTTTTACTTTTAATTTTTGCAGAGCAGATTTATCAGTGAAGCACATTGGCTTTGGAATTAAACAGTTAAGGGTTCAAGCTCAAACTCTGCCAAACAACTACAAAAAAAGCTAATTAGATAATTTTTTCTCATTTCTCAGACCCAGTTGTTATAAATATCAAAGGAGATAACATAGGTCAAGTACTTACTTACCTACTAAAGTGCCTGGCATGTAATAAGCTGCCGAGTACTATCATTTCCTTTTAAATGAGCTGACTTGTAGGAAGTTAACAGAAGAATACAATTGTCCTGTTGGGCCAACATGCTTAAAATATAAAATCAGCCACTGCAACAGCTGATTGAACTTCTTAAAGGAAGTAGGCCAGTGAAGGAATATTTTAGTAGTGGTCATAGGGAAAGGAGAGAAAATTTTGTTTGGATTGCATGTGCCTGAAGAAGACAGAGAATGTATATTTATTTAAGTGTTGAGCTATTTTTGATACCTGCCCTCAAACAGAGTTCTTAATTCCCATTAAGAGGGTAAAGTCCGGCCAGGCTTGGTGGCTCACATCTGTAATCCTAGCACTCTGGGAGGCCGAGGTGGGCGGATTGCTCAAGGTCAGGAGTTTGAAACCAGCCTGAGCAAGAGCTAGACCCCATCTCTACTAAAAAAAAAAAAAAAAAAAAAAACAGAATGAAATTAATTGGCCAGCTAAAAATATATAGAAAAAAATTAGCTGGGCATGTTGGCGCATGCCTGTAGTCTCAGCTACTTGGGAGGCTGAGGCAGGAGAATTGCTTGAGCTCACCAGGAGTTTGAGGTTGCTATGAGCTAGGCTGATGCCACGGCACTCTAGTGAGACTCTGTCTCAAAAAAAAAAAAAAAAAAAAAAAAAGAGGGTAAAATCTAAATTCACCATATTGAGTGGATATTATACTGTGGTATCTATAGTAAGGACTCCCAGGAGAATTCTGAAAGGAACAGGAAACCTTGGGTAGCAAGCAACAGAGGTTTAATAGTAGAGGAAAAGGGATCAACAGAAATTACCCAAATTAGGGGTTGAGGGTGAGAGGTGGGGAATGTGAGCCTTACATCAAGATAAAATAGATTATTGGATCTCAGGCATTTTCCCTATGAATAGTCAGAGTTGGGCCTTTGCCCAGAGGATCGTCAGTGCCTGACTTGCTCCTCAGGGATGAGAAGCATACAAAGGGCCCCGTAGCAGGCAAGCTTCTCTCTGAGGCATCATTACTCAAAGTGCAGTTTGTGACCCATTACAGATTATTTAATCACAATGTAGTGAGTATGACAAGTTTTTTTAAAAAAATTAAATCATACAGGAAAAATAGAAAATAGAGTACATCACATGTAGTAGTACATTATTCTAGCTCATAGTAACTTACTTAATATTTCATAGAAGTTAAATTCAAATTATTACATTTGGGCACTATATACTTAAATTCTAAACTAAAATTGTTATAAATTTTAGTTTCATTTCTTTTGAGATAACAACATTGTATTATTTACTTCTTCCAAGAATTACTCTCAGTCAACAATTATGTCAAGTTACAAACTACATACTTCAGTGCTACCCAGAGTAACATCCTTTAGAAACATTTATGACAATAAACTAGTCAATTACACATGAAATAATTCTACCAATTTTCTAACCTCAAGTTTTATATCATATAAAGTTATAACAAAATAGATAATCTGTATTTTATAAGGAAATATCTTAATGCATTCAGATGGCTTAAATTTCTAAGTCTCTTACAAAGAAATTAGGAAAATCATTAATATTCCTTATAAAACAGATGAGCAGTCAGCTACTAGTCTCTTTTCAAAAATTATTTACTTACAACATCAGAACAAAATTTCCATTCTATTAAAAAAAAGTACTAGGAAAAAGCTGCATTCAAAATAAAGAAGGTAGAGCCAGGCATGGTGGCTCACACCTGTATGTAATCCCAGCACTCTGGGAGGCTGAGGCAGGAGGATCACTTGAGGCCAGGAATTTAAAACCAGCCTGAGCAACACAGCAAGACCCCATCTCTACAAAAAATAAAAAATAAATTAGCTAGGCAGGGCGATACGCACCTACAGACTCAGCTACTAGGGAGGCTGAGGCAGGAGGATCGCTTGAGCCCAGGAGTTCAAGGTTACAGTGAGCTATGATCAAGCCACTGCACTCCAGCCTGGGCATAGAGTGAGATCTCATCTCTTAAAAAAATAAAGAAGTTATACAGGTTACCTACATTCAACCCAAGTGTGTACCAAGGTGTGTTCAGGCAAAGGTTTCTTCCAGTTTTAAAATGACAAAGTCTGTAGTTTTTCCTTTAAGTTTGTAAACACAAAAATGCTAGTTCATAGCTTAAAGTTTAAAAAGAAATAGTTATAATCCAAAGCCTTTTAAATATATTTTCTCACATTTGCACAACAACAATATTTCAATTTATTCTTCTGAAGCATCTGTAAAAGGTTCTGAAGCATCTCTAAAAGACTGAAAAATAAGTATCATTTTATGTATCATGTACACTCCAGAGGATATATGAGGCCTCCTTGCCCTCACCCACCTTCTTAGGAAAAACATTGTGGTCAGAGACTTGGTCTGGCCTTGTCCTTCGTACCTTACTTCCTCAGACCTCAGGAGAGGGGTTCCAAGCAGAGAGAATGGCTGTGCAGGACTCCAGGCCATATTCAATATAATAACCAAATTCAGAAAATATAAGTAATATTTTAGCTTATCAATGCTTTAATTTTCTCCTTAAGATACAAAGCATATATGTACATTAGAATAAAGTCTTACTCTGTATGCTGTCCCAAAATACCACTGAAATATCTTTTATTTGTGAAGAGATAAAAAACAGTTGAAATCAGTTTCCAGAATAAGAAAAATTTTACTTTACCACACTTCCCAAATTGAAAGCTTTGAAAATATGTACTTGAGCTTCGGGGCTCTGTGCTGGCAATTAAGAGTATTCTTCCCCTTAATCTTTTGACTTATTTAATAATTCAGACAAAAACTACATTCTAAAAATCTTCAGTAAAATCTTCCCCTATAGTTCTTGGTGGATGTAATATCAGGTACACATTAAGTTCAAAATATCAATTTTTATTTAAGCATCTAGTACTTACTCAAGGAGGAACCATGTAAAACTGTACAGTTGGGACAGTGATACAGGTCAATGTCAACAGCATGATGTTCTTCTACTCCAACACAGCTAAGACAAAGAAAAATAAAGTCAATATGTCAATAAGTTGAAAATCTTTACTTAACTATAATACAGTGGTTAGAATTTAGCCAAGAAATGTACAACAACCTCACCAACACATTTTGTAGAACAGAGAAACATATATAAGGAGAAATTTTATCCTCGTCTTTACAAGCTTGCTAAATGATTGTAGGGAAGAATGTACCCAAATATATGTGAAGTGATTCACTCTTAGCAGCAGCAGAGACATCAGAAATAACTAATTGCATGCCATAAAACCCTCAACCATTATGTAAATGCCACCTGTTATAGAATGAATGTCAGTAAGATATGAGTCAAAAGATAAATCATAATGAAAATCTGAAAATTATTTTGAGCCGAACAATGAAAATACTACATTATCAAAATTTGTGGGATGAAGAGCTTATAAACAGAAATGTATAGCTTTTAATGTATGTGTTAGAAAAAAGAGGCTGAAATTAATGTGCTGAACACCCACCTCAAGAAGTTACAAAAAGAATAGCAAAATAAACCTTAAAAACAGAGACAGAAGGAAAAATAAAGGTTAGGGGAGAAATTGATAACAAAGAAAACAAACATGTAATAGGGCATTAAAGCCAAAAAAAGATTCTTTGAAAAGATTTACAAAATTGGTAATCCTCAAGCAAGATCAAGGTAAAAGAGAGAAGACATAAATAATCAACATTAGGAATGAAAAGGAAGATATTATAAAAGAGGATAGTATGAACAATTTTATGCTAAGAGATTTAAAATTTTAGATATGGGCAAACCTGAATCATAAAGAAGTAGACTATGTGCACAGTCTTTTAACTATCAATTAGTAATTTTTAAATTAACCCACAAAGAAAACTCCAGGCTCAGATGACCTCACAAGCAAGTTCTATCAAATATTCAAGGAATAAATAATTCTGATATTATATCAAATTTGTTCCAGAGAGCAGGACAAAATGACTTACTAACTCATTTTATAACACCATAACCATGGTATCACAACTTGGAAAGGATCATTATAGGTCGCTCTCACTTATGAGCAAAGATGCAAATGTCAAGTTGGGTCTATCCCAGGAATGCAAGGTGGTTTTTAACGCTAAAAATCTTAATCAGTGAAACTCATCACATTAATAGATTAAAAGAAAAAAAAAATCATATAACCATTTAAAAAGATGTAGAACAAGTATTTGACAAAATTCAACATTTACTTATGATAAAAAAAAGCAAACAAAACTTAACAAACTTAGAGGACACTTCCATAATCTGCAAATAACATGGAAGCAGTCACTTTAAGAACAAGACAAGAACGGCTAATGTTCCACTTCTGGTGAACACTGTGCTGGAGGACTTAGCTAGTATAGTAGAATAAGAAAAACAATTAAAAGGTATAGGCATTAGAAAAGAAAAATAGAACTATCATTTGCAAATGCTACGGTTACATTTGCACAAAATGCAAAATAATCTATAAATAAATTATAAGAATCAATAAAAAGATTGCTAGATATAATATTAGTACATAAAAAGTAATATTTCCATATACCAAAAAAAGTGAAATAAAGCTAAAAAGTAAAATAAAACATCATGTACAACTGTATAAAGTTGCTAAGCACACTGGAGTAAATTTAACAAAAACTATGCAAAACCTTTTAGGGAAAATTATAAAACATTATTGAGACACTTGAAAAGAAGACCTAAATAAAGGAAGATATACATCATGATCATGGATTTGAAGTTCAATAATGTAAAGATATTAATTCTCCTCAAAATGATTTATAGATTCAATTTAATTCCAATCAAGATCTGTGGAACCTGACAGGCCAATTCTAAAATTAATGTGGAAATGTAAAAGGGCCATGAATATGCAAGGCATTCTTAGAAAACACACACACACAAAAAAAAAAATCCCCCCAAACTCCACCAGGTATTAAGACTTATTTTAAAGCTCCAAAAATCAAGGCAATATGGAACAGATGCCAATGTCCCAAAACAGATGCACGTATATGTGGACACTTATGTATAACATGTGAGCACTGAAGAGCACACGACAAGAATAGACTTTTCAATATAAGGTCCTGGACACTTTTTATACATCTGTAAGGGAAACAAAACAAAATTAGACACCTATCTTGCAACATAAAAGGTTCCAAAATAGATTATAAACCCAAACACATGCAAAAGGACAAAGTATAAAGGTGTATAACATAACAGAAAATATCTTTATGATTCTGTTGCAGGAAGAGTTGCTTAATCAAAACACAAAAAGCACTTTCCATAAGGCGAAAAACTGGTAACTTCAGAGACATTAAAATAACGTCTGTTCATTAAACTATAAAGAGCGAAATAATAAGCCAGAGTAGCAGAAGACATTACAATATAGATAACCACCAAAGGAATTATACCCAGAATATAATCAACTCCTACAAATCAATAAGAAAGAAAGGGAACCAATATAAAAATGAACAAAAGACTTGAATAGGCACCTCATACAAGAAAATCTAGTGGCTGATACACACATGAAAAGGTGTGCAGCAACCTCATAAGTAACTGGAGGAAATATAAATTAAAAGCACAATAAACTACTTCAGCATACCCACCAGACAGGCTAAAACTAAAAAGTCTAATGATACCAAGCATTGAAGATGATGTGGAGTAATAGGAACTTTAATATACTACTGGCTGGAGTATAATTTATACAGCCATTTTGGAAAGCAATTTTGCATCAAAACTGAAGAATCATATATTCTATGACCAAGCAATTCCTCTTTTAGGTAAATACACCTTAAAGAAACTCATACACGGCCGGGCGCTGTGGCTCACGCCTGTAATCCTAGCTCTTGGGAGGCCGAGGCGGGCGGATTGCTCGAGGTCAGGAGTTCAAAACCAGCCTGAGCAAGAGCGAGACCCCGTCTCTACTATCAATAGAAAGAAATTAATTGGCCAACTGATATATATATAAAAAATTAGCCGGGCATGGTGGCTCATGCCTGTAGTCCCAGCTACCCGGGAGGCTGAGGCAAGAAGGATCACTCGAGCCCAGGAGTTTGAGGTTGCTGTGAGCTAGGCTGACGCCACGGCACTCACTCTAGCCTGGGCAACAAAGCGAGACTCTGTCTCAAAAAAATAAAAATAAAAAAAAAATAAAAAAAAAAAAAGAAACTCATACACATGTGCACTAAGATACCTTCTTATATAGGGATGGTTACAGAATCATTATTTGTGAAGTCTATAAACAGTAAAATGAATAAATTACAGTATATTCTCATGACAAAATTCTATATGGCAATGAAAATAAAAGAACTATAGCCCCATGCAATAAATCAGCGAATTTTACAAATTAATCAACACTGAGTTTTAAAAAGATATAAAAAGTATATATACAGTATATTTTATTTATGCATAAAGTTCAAAACCATGGAAAGCAGAGCTTAGGGATAATAAAACTATAACTAAAAGCAAAGAACTTTCTTTTTTTTTTTGAGACAGAGTCTCACTTTGTTGCCCAGGCTAGAGTGAGTGCCGTGGCATCAGCCTGGCTCACAGCAACCTCAACCTCAATCTCCGCGGCTCAGCGATCCTACTGCCTCAGCCTCCCGAGTAGCTGGGACTACAGGCATGCGCCACCATGCCCGGCTAATTTTTTTTTTGTATATATATATATTTTTTTTAGTTGGTCAATTAATTTATTTCTATTTTTGGTAGAGACGGAGTCTCGCTCAGGCTGGTTTCGAACTCCTGACCTTGAGCAATCCGCCCGCCTCGGCGTCCCAAAGTGCTAGGATTACAGGCGTGAGCCACCACGCCCGGCCAGAACTTTCTTAACAGTAGGATAATAGTTTCCTATAGGGAGTTGTGATCTGGAAAGGATGGGAGAGGCGTCCTGGGTCCTGAGTGACTGTTATTATATGTGTGTATATTTGATAATTATTCATTAAACCGTATCATTTATGTTTTAGACACTTTTCTTTACTGTTACTTCACAGTTAAAATACTTTTAAGGATAAATTCTACCTACAACCATGTAAAAAATTAAGCAAACAAAAATCTTGAAATGTATTAATCTGATAACTACAACAAAATATTAAAAACAATGAATCAGAGATCTCCAGGTACCCCAAAACAAGCCTATTTCTCACCCAAAAGAACTCCAATATACTTAACAACCTTAAGGTCTTTGAGGTTGCTGCAATCCCAAAAAGTCAAAACCAACTTAGATGTCAAAAAATAACATGACATTGCTGTTTGAATATGGAACCCATGTAACTAAATCAAGTACTGTGTTTTAGCGAAAATAAGACAGGGTCTTATATTTATTTTTCCTCAAGAAGACACCCTAGGGCTTATTTTCAAGGGATGTGTTATTTTTTTTTAAGTATGGTACAACAATCTACATTTATTCAAATACAGTTAAGTCTTCTTCTTCTAGAACATCATCATAACGCTTGAAACCCCGAATTCCATCCTGAATTTCTTGCGAGTCTATTTCCTTTAGAACCACTGGCCCCAATCTCTCATGTTGAGCAAAAGAGCTCTCATGGGGCAGATGAGAAGGGCTGCTCCTCTTCCTTACCACTCCGCGATGAAATGCATGGGTTGTCCACATACGCTGCATAGCCACGCCCATCACTAGGTCTTATTTTCAGGGTAGGGCTTATATTGTGCAAATGCTTAGAAATCCTGGTAGGGCTTATTTTATGGGTAGGTCTTATTTTGGGGGAAACACGGTAATAACAATTTGCTTTTCAGTAGAACTGAAATTTACTTTATTTGTCCAGTTTGGGTTTACTTCACTTTTTCCCACAAAAAGCAAAGGGTAAATATGCTAATAGTTTAAAAATATTTTTTGAACTGGAAGACTATAAATTTCCAATCCAATAAAATAAACCTTATGCAAAATTATATATATATTTATGTACCATTCCTTTGGTCCATAGTTTCTTATAAGAGACTCAAAAAGGTTTCTGGAACCCAAATAAAACCTTAAGAATCACTGGATGGAG